TTTTACTTTTTGGGTTGATAGGTAAGCTATGTCGAGCTGTCTTACCCTTTGGTTTGATAGATAAACACTTTTTTAGGCTTCAAAGTGTCCCGGAAACCATCATACTCTATACTACTCCTGTTCATGAATTTAAAATATAGAAATACTGATTAAGTCTATAAAGCTATTTTAGTATTATTATATATCCCTCATTTGTCCTTTTTTTTCCCTAACTAAATATCAACATTTTTCCCTGTAGTTTCTTAGTGTTATGATTATGATTAACCCATAAACACACTAAGGCTTAGGCGGAAAATATGGGATGAGCAATAATTTAGACGGGTTTTAGGACTTAGAATTTTGTCAGTTATTTGTTAACAGGAATTATGTACTTAGACTTTCTTTTTAACCAGAAATTGAACTTAGAAAATTTTACTAGACAGATTTCTGAATTTGGAGAAATTTCTGAAGATGACAGGTATATAATAAATCGATTATTAAGTGATCAACAATTATTTTGCTGCTTTCATTCATTGTTAATTTTCCAAACTAAAATATTGTTTGTACAAACATAAACATACATAATCATTAATTGATAAAAAAACTCCACAACAAAACTAAAACTTAAAACATATTATATAATGATGTTGTGATGACTTTTGCATAGAATATATTTCACTTTGTTAAATTTGGGTATGACTTAAACTCATATATTAAGCTTTTTAATGTAATATAATTAAATGAGTAATATCCCTGAAAATTTCTTATCAACAGGATAAATAAATAAATACTGCCTCTAGTAACCACTCTACTATGATTTAACACCACAGACTTGATAACACACAGGTCAGATCGTAAATTCTGCTACAGTCCAGACTGTTCCATGCGATTTATTTGGGGGGAAGCAACAGTTACTTTGTACATTTTATATGATGAGTCTGTTAAGAAGGACTTTGCAAAGTTTTTTTTAAAGATATTTATTATGAATTTTGGATTCTTTTTCCATTTATTTTCTGGTATTTTTATATAATTGTGAAAATAAAACGATGGGTTGGATTATCCCTGTTTACCATCATATCAATGGACTTGTCCATAATTTGAAATCTAGGAAATATGGGTCAGCAGAAGCTTAGACAGTAAAAATAAAGCAAATAACAAAGGATTTTATTGATAGTTAAAAATTGTGGTGATAAAATATAAGCAATTTTTGAGATAATATTTTGTTTAAAGTGTAAGGATTGAATATTTTTGAATTTTTCAAAGAAAAAAAAATAAGACTTTAGCCTCGTGAATGAAAATGACAATAATCTGGATATGCTCAGTTGTAAATGAATTTTGAATGCTACATTATGACCTTGGATAAGAAGATAAATACCAATATCATAAAAATTCAGGTAAGTAACTTTTGGATACATTTAAACAATAAAAATATATTTCAAATAAATTAAATAATTTTGCATTAAGTTTGAGAGTAAATTTGTAACACTAAGTTTGGTTGTAATGAATTATAGTTTAAATGCATGTATAATTATAACTGCATACAATGACAAGAAACAATAATATAAGATATTAGTGGTGGCAGTGTTTTACTGATGACTGTTTGTGTTTCAGGATATGTCTCAAGCTGGTGTAAAAAGAATGGGAGGGGAGGAGTCACGGACAAGGATATTAACGATACCATAAGTTAAAGCAGATCAGTTATGCTTGGATTAAAAATGAAAACAACCACCTGAACAAAAAACATTTACAGTGAAATAAAATGAAATAATTTGCCATGGATTAAAACAATACAATAGCAGTGCAATAAAAAATATAACTCGTGTTTCTGTTTTTTGTGTGACTCTTTTACGTACTGTACATGCACCCTAATGTAGAAAACATTATGGTAAAGCTCACAAAAATAACTTAAAAGCTTTGTAATTGTGATCACCTATTGTCTGTCTGCAATTTTGGATTCCAATTATTCTTATGCAGCTAAAAAATAATGTTGTATCCATCCATAATTCAACTTTATTAGTGTACTATCACAAAATTGAATATCTTCATTTCCTTAGGCAGATCTTTTGCTAGTATTCCTTCAAGGAAGAATTTTCTCCTGCTAGTGATTTTCTAAGAAGGTATTTTTTTCCTGGTTAAAATATTTTAGGCGGAATTTTTTCCGGCTAAGAATTTTCCTAAGGTGGAATTTTCTCCTGCTAGTGCTTTCTTTAAGCTGAATTTTTTCCTGGATAAATTTTCTAAGGAGGATTTTTTCTTGCTACCCTAACTGTTTTCCTCCTAAGAAAATTTGCATATTTCGCAGCGTATTCCTGCTTATAGGAGGAATCTGTGATATGTAAACCTGAAATGCCTTAGACGGATTACGCCTAGTAGCTAGGCGGAATTTCTGCTTTTTTCAGGGCGGAAGTTTTCGTACGGGATATTTTACTTGCCTTGTTGTACTACATTTGTAACAAAAGATGAACATTATTGGGGGCTGGAGACAGGGGGGGATGGGGAGATGTAGTGGTAGACAAATATCTCTCAGCTCAATACATATAATTTACATTTACTTGCCTTGTTGTATATTTGGGTCAATGTTTCCTGTAACTAAAGATGAATATATGGGTGTGAAGGGGGGGGGGTTATTAATTAGTAGATTAATAGACAAAATTACACATCTTGTATTGCAAAAAGAAAACTTACTGTTTCAGTTCCTTAGCCTTGGAAGAAATTGCCCAGTTAAACAGAAACTGTTTCACTTTACTGGCTTTAACTCCTGCAATCACCTGTATTACAGATACAATATTTTTTATCAAAAATGAAAACTGCTGATAATTTTTTTTCAAATATCTGCATTCCTGATGCAAAACAGAATATGTCACTTAATAATCAAAATCTTTGTCTGTCCTTTCATATTCTACATGTTAGTTTAAGATAACAAAACATTTGTTTTTCCCTCAGCAATTATATTGTACACTGAGTACATAAACATTAAAACTTGGCACAATTAACATATCTTGATTTTAAACATTCTTAAATTATTTTTAATTTATAACACAACCTTATCATAGATTTTGTTTACCAGTCAGACGGACATGCATACAAACCTTATCATAGATTCTGTTCATAAGTCTGGGTACAGAGAAGAAGACAGTTGGTTTTAATGTCTGCAAATCATCTAACAAAAGTTTAACATCCCCACGGAAAAATCCAATCTTAGCTCCCTCCATGGTCAAACACTGTTGACCAATACGTTCATACATGTGAGCTAGAGGAAGGTAAGACAAATGAGTGTCATCTTTATTGAATTTTCTGTAATGCTGAAACCAAGGAAAGATAATAAGGTTAACAAGTATAATTTGAAAAGCGATAAGCTCCATATAAATTTAATTTTAGAATGTGTTATCGCATAACATACCCATTTAAGCATTTTACAGTTGGTACATCAAAATACACATATAATAATGTATAACAAAGTCATATGTCACTGTATTGAAAATGTATTAGCATCCGGAGAATTCAGTCGGTAAGTGCCACCGTACAGTATTCCGATAATTCCTTCCCTGGTTCAAGTCCCAGTCAGGATGTACACTTGGTGCCCAACAGGGGACCATGATGGCTTACAGCTTTGATTGGTCTCTTTACTCATTTTAATTCAAGGAAGAATTTCAATATAATGAGGGGAGTATGTCACAGTATTTAACTGTTCACTGATTAGAATTGAAAATATGTAAGCAAGCTGATAGCACAATTAGTACAGTCACAGTACTGTATTACAATAATTCCCACCTTGGTTTGAGTCCCAGACAGGCTGCACATTTTAAATCTGTATATTTAATCCTGTTTTATCTCAGTGGAATAAGTTAATATTTCTCTATATTGGTTTAACTTCTTCATGACAGTACTGCTATAATAGGACAGGGTAAAATACAGTCAAAATGGTTTATCTCATTAAGCCCGTGCTAGGGGGCATGTGGATGGTAAGTTTGCAGTTTTACAGTACTACCCATAACAGACTCAATCACACTGAGCCTGCATTACATATTGAATTTTGCCATTTTGGAAATTCTTAAAGGATTCTTTTAAAGTTCCCTTTATTTGTATGTCTACCGATTCATAGGTTATTTATTAGAATGAATGAAATATTTATTTGCTTTCTAATCAATTCAAATCAAAGAAAATCAAGATTTGTCCATGGCATGGTAAAAACTTACTTAGTTTTATTATGTTAAAAGTTAAACTAAATAGCTTTATTTATTATATAATGTTAAAATTTAAACTTAGATTTATTATGTTAAAATTAAACTTACAGAGTTATTCATAGTAATCATGGATATTTGAGCAAGAGCCTGTCTGTAAGTTATAATCACACCTTTTGGGTTACCTGGAAAAAAAGTTTATATATAAAATATGATGTACCTGGAATTTTATAACATTATAGCTTAATGGTGACTGTATGTAAATAGTGTTACAGCATTTCTGAGGCATACTGGGCCTTTATATACGAGATATCCCCCTCTACAAGTAAGTCTCAACTTGTCCATTATTGTACAGTCAAGAATGTGTCATAATTATTTGACTTTCTTAAGAACCTTATAAGGTCAAATTACTTCTTACATACACTGCCTTCTATGAAATCACTGGAAACATTTTGTACCTACTAGATTCTAGTACACTCTAATATTCTAATATATGCCAGTCTCTGGCTTTTCAGACATGCTAATATAATGACATACTTATTTAGGTGTAAAGAAAATAAAATAACAAATGAGCCGCGTCACGACAAAACCAACATAATGGGTTTGGTCTGAATCCATGCCGGTCGCAAACACACTATGTTGGTTTTGTCGTGACGTGGCTCAAATGACAAATAAAGTAGAACAAAGTACCTGTAGTTCCGCTGGTATAACAGATTAATGCTGTGTCATCAGGACCTGGAGGCTGCGGAGAAAATAATAACATATATTATACACAGTGTAATGACATGTTTTAGTTTTAAACTGCTTAAAATCAATTATTAAACATTAAACAATTATTATGTAAGACATTGCAATAAAATTTAACCTCAGAAAAGCTGAACACTTCTCTCAACAATAACCAAAATCATCATCTCCTAAACAGTGTGGCTTGATCTGCAGAGGTTGTACTAATTATGTCCTATCAACCTAATGGCTTTGCATTTATTTAAAACAAATATTTTATTATTAAAAAAAATATATAAAATGAAGGAATACAAACATTACCTGAACATTTCTTTGATCAGCTTTTCCCTTTCCCTGAAACATTAATATATAAACAACTAATAAAAAAAATATACAAATAATATTTTTGTGAACAATTTATTGTGGAACAATTATTATTTAACATAGTTTTTGCCTTTTATTTTAAAATACTGAATTGTCATAATCTACTAATATCTATGTAATATTGTATCTATTATATACAAAAGCAAATAGCAGTTGAAATATAAAAGGAACTCCACTGAGGTTCAAAAGTCTTAAAACATGAAATTTGAATTTCCTACATTATAAGATACGATGGGGAGCTTAACAATAAAATATGCAAAAGATAATTAAGAAAATATTAGTCTTGTTAATAAATTGAAAATGGTATTTTTGTGCTAAGATCTTAGCTAGATTTGAGTGAAAAGCGTTGCACTTAGTTTTCTCAATTTTGGGTCATTTTTTACAATTAGAATACGGTTTTTCTGGAAAACAGAGAGATTAAATGATCTGAAATGTTGCACATATGTTATTGGTCTAGACCTACATCAAATGGAACATAAATCTTGAAAAATAATTTTCAATCCAAAGCTGTCATATCAAAAATTCTCAGTGAAGTCCTTTAAAATAGGCATGAATCCATGATTTTCTAACAGATAGATTCACAAAATTTCAACAATTGGTAATGAATATTCCAAAAGGGTGTTGACTTTTCCTGAGGAGTCATGGATCATATTTTGCTGATTTCACAAATTTTTGCGTAACTTTTGCTAAAAAACATAAGTTGATAACCAAATCTCAGGAATCCATATATCAGTCAAATCCCTCCCCATGCCTAAATCTCAGGAATCCATATATCAGTCAAATCCCTCCCCATGCCTAAATCTCAGGAATCCATATATCAGTCAAATTCCTCCCCATGCCCAAATCTCAGGAATCCATATATCAGTCAAATCCCTCCCCACCCCCACAGTCCTTTCAGATCCACACAATGTGAGAGCAGATTTCAGGAAAGTATGAAAATATGTTTTGGTATAAGTATATGATATTCCTTTGATGGTACAGTTTTGCTGAAATAACTTAATCTTGAAAGCAAAAATACAGATTGTTCAACTGTTTTTTTGTTGTTTTTTTCATTAAACTTTATAATTATACCAATAAATCTATGTGTAGAACATTCTAATATGATTAAAGGATTTGCTCACTTCAAGTGTTAGTTAAGTCCATTTCACTGTTAAGGGGAGGAAAATGTATTTACCAGTGCCTCCTTGAAGGAAACAACCTTGATCTTGACCTTGGCTGCAAGTTCTCTATCCACCCCGTCTAACCCGTTCATCACAAGGATGGTTTTAAGACTTTTGCCATGCCCATTTGAAACCATTTGTAACAATTTATTAACTTTTTCTGATAAATCAACCACAATAAGAGGCATTTCAGCTGAAAAATAAATAATATAGAAAATGAAAACTCTCTTTTGTTATAAGAGAATATTTTCATATACAATTAGTAATATTATTGTATGTAATTAGTTTATTTCATTATTTTTTCAGGGTAGAATTTTTAGTCAGGACCAAACCTTGCTACAGAGAAAGTGTTATTATTTTTCATTTTATTCTTTTTTTACAAAATTCTTTGAGAAAAGTCAAAGTTAGTGATGATCACTTACTTAGTAATTACTGTGGCATTATGACTAAACAAAAGCTGTATGCAAGACAGCATGCTCGACTATTCTCAGTGCTTGACAGCAAAGAATTGCATAACTCTGCAAAAAGGTAATTAAAAGTTACGGGACCTGTGCCCATCATGTTACATATTCACAGAGAGCAGTTGCATGAAGTTTAAACTCATTCCCTTCTTCAGTAAGTTTTAGAGACTCATAAACTTAACCAAAGTGTGACACTTTAATTATATTGTCAACACAGAGAGGTAAGAACAATGCCTTGCACTATTTTTAAAAAAATTTGTGCTAAAAGCTATATTAACTGATTAAGATAAAGAAAATAAAATCTAACTTCGCTCCATGATGAATGTGACAGCATCATCTCCTAGAGTGTCATATAACGCCACAGGTATAAAACTATATGCTGAACAAGCTTTCTCTGTTATTACCCACTGTAATGTAATAAATTACTCATTGTAATGTAATAAATTACCCACTGTAATGTAATAAATTACTCACTGTAATGTAATAAATTACCCACTGTAATGTAATAAATTACCCACTGTAATGTAATAAATTACCCACTGTAATGTAATAAATTACCCACTGTAATGTAATAAATTACCCACTGTAATGTAATATATAACCATTGTTATGTAATAAATTACCCGGTGTAATGTAATAAATAATCCACTGTAATGTAATAAATTACCCAATGTAATAAAATAAATTACCCACTTTTATATAATAATTTTTTCCCCGCTGTAATTCAATATATATAACCTACTGTTATGTAATAAATTACCAACTGTTATCTAATAAATTACCTATTGTAATGTAATAAATTACCCACAGTAATATAATAAATAACCCACTGTAATGCAATAAATTACCCAATGTAATGTAATAAATTACCCAATCTAATGCAAAAAACTATCCACTGTAATGTAATACATAACATACTGTAATGTAATAAATTACCCACTGTAATGTAATAAATTACCCACTATAATATAATAAATTACCGACTGTAATGTAATAAATTACCCAATGTAATGCAATTAATTATCCACTGTAATGTTATAAAGTTCCCACTATAATGTAATACATTATCCAATGTAATGTAATAAATTGCCCACTAAAATATAATAAATAACTCACTATACTGTAATAAATTACCCACTGTAATATAATAAATTACTCAATCTAATGTAATATATTATCCAATATAATGTAATAAATTACCCACTGTAATGTAATAGATATCCCACTGTAATGTAATAAATATCCCACTGTAATGTAATAAATTAACCATTGTAATATTATAAATTACCCACTGCAATGTAATAAATTACCCATTGTAATATAAAAAATTACCCATTGTAATATTAGACATTCCCACTGCAATGTAATAAATTACCCACTGTAATGTAATAAATATCCCACTATAATGTAAAAAATTACCCACAATAATGTAATAAATTACCCACTGTAATGCAATAAATTACCCACTGTAATATAATAAATTACCCACTGTAATGAAATAAATAACCAATTGTCATGTAATATATTACACTATAATGCAATAAATTACTCAATGTAATGTAATAAATTATCCAGTGTAATGTATTACATTACTCACTGTAATATAATAAATGACCCACTAAAATGTAATTAATTACCCACTGTAATGTAATATATTTCCCACTGATATTTAATAAATTACACATTGTAATAAAATGAATTATTATAGATACATTTTTATGTTTTCAAAACTAGCATGTGAAAAATTTTCTTAACCTTTATTTATTTATGCCTGATTGCATCTATGGGTTACATTACTCTACTTTACTTTCATTGCCTTCTTTATTAAAGTAAAGGTGGAAGAGAGATTAAGAGAGGTGAAAGGGGTTCACTAGAGTATCAGACTCCTAATCCGGATGTTGTGGGTTCTGGATGTTGTGGGTTCTGGATGTTGTGGGTTCTGGATTTTGTGGGTTCTGGATGTTGTGGGTTCTGGATGTTGTGGGTTCTGGATGTTGTGGGTTCTGGATTTTGTGGGTTCTGGATGTTGTGGGTTCTGGATATTGTGGGTTCTGGATGTTGTGGGTTCTGGATTTTGTGGGTTCTGGATGTTGTGGGTTCTGGATGTTGTGGGTTCTGGATGTTGTGGGTTCTGGATGTTGTGGGTTCTGGATTTTGTGGGTTCTGGATGTTGTGGGTTCTGGATTTTGTGGGTTCTGGATGTTGTGGGTTCTGGATTTTGTGGGTTCTGGATGTTGTGGTTCTGGATGTTATGGGTTCTGGATGTTGTGGGTTCTGGATGTTGTGGGTTCTGGATGTTGTGGGTTCTGGATTTTGTGGGTTCTGGATTTTGTGGGTTCTGGATGTTGTGGGTTCTGGATGTTGTGGGTTCTGGATGTTGTGGGTTCTGGATTTTGTGGGTTCTGGATGTTGTGGGTTCTGATTTTGTGGGTTCAAATTCTCTTCTGACTCCTATAATCAATACTGTTGCGAGTATTACTTAAGACACTAAGAAAATAGTCAACTAGCCAGACTTAAAATTGCCATCCAATCATAATAATGGTTTCTAACATGTAGAAGAGATATCATATGATATTTACAGTGATCGTGTGGCACCACACACCAATACTCTTCAACCCTCCCCAACCACCCCCACCCCAACAAACAAACAATGATTGGCAAAGTCACAAACCTCAGATCTATTTTGACTGAAGATACCAATAATTGTCTTGTCTTCACTCTTCATTCCCTGACCGACCATCCATGACCCCAGTGCTACAGACTGGTCATATACCTACAACAACATAGATTTATACATCAACAGAACATATATGTCTTGAATTATATCACCCATTATGACTGGGCTCAATAAAATCTTGCAAAAATTAGGTCCTTTAACAGCATTATGACAACAATAGAAAAAACGTTGAAAATTGAAGACTGGATTTCATTGAGTCTGTACATATTTAGTGATAATGTTAAAGTATAACATCTCTCATGCTCTCCTAGCAATAGCTTAAGTGGTATTCTATGGCACACAAGCAAAAAGGTTTTTGAAATCAAAGGAATCCTAAACGACCAGAATAATATTACATCACTCAAATGAAGTTCATGCTAAATCATATTTAAAAACTCAAAGCTTGACATCTGCTTTTGTTAATATAAAAATCTTAAAGAAGGGAAATATCTCAGCAATGGTAAAAAAATTAATAAAATTAAACCATCACTGTATAAACTCACACCAGCCAAAACTTACATGTTGTCTGAAATGACTTTGAAATACTGTCACAGTAACATTGCTTGATTTCTTTAAATATTTTGACATTAAAATGCACATATACCACATGTAAACAATAAAAAACATGTATTCCAAAATCAAAATCAAGCAGGACATTAGCCAGTTAGAAAATATGGGCAACAGTAATCTGATTGTTCTTAAGTGTTCAGATAAAGAAATACAGAATAATGGTGTTTAATCCTTGATGTTTATGTGAAAGGCCCTATGTGTTCTTCTTTACTTATTCTCATTACAAAAATTAATATACTCCATAGATAAATATCTTACATCCTGGTAAGACAGCCACTCATATTCCTGATTTGGACCAGAACGTGTTCCCAGAAATGGACCATTACCTGTATAACAGAACATAAGGGTAACATGAAATGTAACGGGAAGTTATAACTCAGCTCATTAAGTAAATAAGTTGTAACTGAAGCTCTTTCAGTTTTACATTAAGTTATGACTTAGCCAATTCAGTAAAAATGTAAGTTATGACTCTGCCAATAAAGTTGTACCATAGGTTATAACTCAGACCATTTAGAAATAATGTAAGTTATAACTCTGCCAATTCAGTAAAACTGCAATGTTTAACTCAGCCCATTCAGTGACTCAGATCCTTCAGTAATAAGTTACAGCTTATTTTTGTCAGTAATAACATAAGTAATTACTTGACTCTGTCAGGAATAACATAAATTATAACTTGGGTATTTCAGTAATAACACCAGAAGTTACAATTTTGCTCAGTGTGAACAATAACATAAGTTATAACTCAGCTGTTTTGGTAATGAAATAAATTAAATGTTTTACTTAATGCTGTCTTCTTTAAAGATCTAATCATAAAATAAAATTTTATATTTTACCTGACAGTTTAATGCCTCTCTGGAAAACATCATAGAAGGTTTCCATGCCTTCATAAAGTGGCTTATACTCCGCCCCTTTAGCAACCAGCTTGCTCGTTCTAGAACCATCCTAAAATTGTGAATATGCCAAACCTTCATAAGTGTTTTTCTTAGTTTCTATAAATTATTTTCATTTTACATATCATTTATCTTTTAAGGCTGTAAACTATGGTTTTTGACACTTAATAATTTGCCCGATGGCATAATGGAAAATACAGTAAAATTAAATCCGGAACTTGCACTGAAACCATTATCATGAACAAAAACAGTTCGTAACAGCCACAAGAACCATTTAAGGGACACAAGAACAATTTTAGTCAAAATTATTTGTCACAGATACAGTAACTATTCTAGACACAAGGACTTTATTAGCACAATAACTTTTCTAGGCACAGTAACCATTCTAGGCACACTGAAGACCATTCTAGGCACAATAACTCTTTTAGGCACAGTAACCATTCTTAGCACAAACACAATTCTATGCACAAGAAATTTTCTAGGCACAATAACTATTCTGTGCACAAAGACAATTAAATGCACATGAACTTTTCTAGGCACACTAACTGGTCTGGGCACAAAGACAATTCTAGGCATATGAACATTACTAGGCACAATAACTATTCTGGGCAGAAAGACAATTCTAAGGCACAAGAACTTTACTAGGAACAATAACTATTCTGGGCACAATGACAATTCTAGGCATATGAACATTACTAGGCACAATACATGTAACCATTCTGGGCACAAAGACAATTCTAGGCACAAGAACTTTACTAGGCACAATAACTATTGTGAGCACAAAGACAATTCTAGGCACATGAACTGTTCTAGGCACAAAAGTTTTTCTTTTACAATGACAAGTTTGGCAGACGACCATTCAAGTCACTAGTTGTATTCTAGGCACATGATTAATTTACAGTTAAAATCATTGTAATGTAATAAATTTTCAAACCTGATAAGAAACTTACACCAGTACAAACAGTTTGTACTGGTGTAAGTCTCTTATATTGAAACAGGAATATTGAGCTCGAGGGTAACTATTTACAGCGATAACATTACTTAGGCTCTGTTGAGTTAATAACTGCAAAATAGGAACACGAGAGTTAAATATTCAGGACTGTCTGTGAAGACAGCCAGTGTTTGATTCTTTTTCTCACGTATTATATATAAATCATATTTCTAAAAGAAATTTTGAATAATAATATCGTAATTTAAAACTTTTTTCTTATAGAAGCAAATGAATTAACAACTACATTCATAACTGCAAAATGACGTCATCCTTAGAAAGCAATTCATTCATAAATGGCATGCAGGAATGACGTCATTACATTCAATGAAAGCACAAGACTTGTCTTACTAAGATGGTGTAAGACAGGTTTTTCTAGCAACATTGTCAACAGTTAGATTATCCTGTCTGATATGCAAGAAATATATGTATAATATACCTCAAGAAGATAGGACTGGTCATTTAAATCCACTGGTGGTATACAATTGGGGTCTGGCATACTGGCAACATAATATGATGTAGCTGCAAGCCCTGCCACAGCTGTACCAACCCCTATTGTGGTACACAACAGTCCCCATTGCTCTAATATATCTTCCATCTGGAAATATAAATAAACAATTATACTATTAATATTTGAAGGTACACAAGAGCATTGTTTATGTCTGGCTTAGCAACACCATTTTCGATATCTCAATTGCTCAGATAAAAAGCAATAAATTTAAAAAAAAACTGATTGTACCAACTATATTTGAAAAGATGTTTATGTTAGTTTCTCCAAGTTATCCCTAGGACAGGGCTGACCACATAAGATTGATTTATATAACTTTTGTAGAGGACCACAATGTGATGCTTAGTCTAAGATGCCAAATAACTTATAATACAGTGTGGGCATTGTAGTCTCTAAGGGAGAAGATATGTATAAATAAGTCTATATAAAATGACACCAAGGATAGACCATCTTTGATGACCCTATGGGCAATGATTTGTGTTGACTATTGTAAAAATTCATAAGAAAATGCTTTGAATGCCAAAAATCAAAACTCTTGGCATCATTATGTCACAATAGAAGACTTAAATGTGTTTCGTATACATGTACATGTATGTCTATATAATGTCATAGTTAAAAGCTAAATGACCCCTAGGAGCTTATTGAGAGACTGAATTTGACCCTAGGGGAATGATTTACATGTATATATGTGCACAAGGTGAAGCTTAATTTGAAAAATTAGTTTTTGGTTCTGGACTTTGTTGTTTAGATTTTTAAAGAATTTATTTTTAAAGTTTTTTGTTTCAAGGTCCTGTGACCAAATGCATCTAAGACTGGAACCATTTATATGAATCTAGTTTGTTTGATTTGGTTTTACATCACACCGACACAGTAATTAGGTCATATGGCCAGGTTCCAGTTTAACTGGTGGAGGAAGACCTCAGGTGCCCTTTGATCTTTTCACTATAAATCTTGTAGAGGGCAGCCTAAGGATCATTTCTGTGAAGTTTACTCAAAACCCTCTATTGTGCTTCAAGAGGAGATGTTATTAAATAAAGAAATTGTAGATAATATTGATAAAATTGGCACAGAACATCACAAATGCCGAACTTTAGGCACTAAATTGTGACAGGTGAGCTTAAAACAAGTATAACAGTGATTATGTATCTAAAGATTTAGAAAGCCATGTAAATCAAACATAAAATGTTACAGTTTGCAGTAACTAGATTTCATGTTTAACACACCTTGGTTATACAATACCAGGATACCTATAGAGGTTTTTACATTAGTTTCAAAAGTTACTGGTTATATAAAAACTGAATGAAATATTTTTACTGTCATTTATTAAATTACATGATATGTTATCCGCTTTAGGTTTTTCTCCATTTCATACTTCTTACCAACTATTTTACATAAATCAGACAGAATAATGCATGGCTGTAATAGATACATGATCATACTGTCCTCAGAGAGTAATCTTATATTTATCATTTACATTTATAACCTACATGCTTTAAAACTATAATGTATCATATTTATAATGAAAATAATACCCCTTATTTAATGTAATGTTACAGTCAGTGACATCAGGGGAGGTAACTAGAGTCATGAAATGATAGTCAATCCTCATAACGCCATAACTACAGATTATTTGGTTGCAATAAATTTAAAAAAAAAAACAAAAAAACAACAACAAAAAAACAACAAAACACAAAAAAACCAGAAACGTTAGTTTGACAGTTCTATAACTTTCCCACATAATGAATTTTACATAATCATAACAACTTTTCACCAAACACTGAAATATAACCAACTAGCTGATTAAAATTCAGTAAACCTTATGGTCAATATAATAATAAGACTCTGTTAAGTCATACACCTCAGGGGATGTAAATACAGTTACATGATGATATTTCTCACAATACAAGTGCTCAGTTGTTCTTATCTTATGAAACATGTAGTTTGTCACCACTCACTCACTCGATTAAAACTTGTAGACGGCATATTAAACACCTCCATTTGACAGTTAAGAGACTAATCCACACATGAAAAATTTCTATCATTATTATTTACAAACATCAGCAATATTACCGAGTCATTTAAATTCAGGGTCCATCCATGGCCAAGGGGTTAAGGTTGTTGATTGAAACACAAGCCACTCACCACTGTGGGTTTAAATCCTGCCAGGGAGGACTCTTAAAAATAAGTCATAAAATCTCATTAGTATTGAAAATAATTTATGCCAAAATCCATAAATCCTTGTCACACATTAATTTTATATAAAAGACATTTATCTAAACTAATAACCTAACTTTATCACATTTTCATATATGATTAACTGTATTAATACATCATTCATGAAAGTAAATGTGAGCGATTTCTACTATCTTTGATGACATTTTGTGCCTTTCTGTAATCTCAAACACATTGCCAATTGCAATCAGGTCACTTAATGACCTTATATATCTCTCTTGAAACATTATCAGTTATGACCTTTTCTTCATGTACTAGGAGTATCATGGTTATTTTGTTCTGTACTTAGAACACCGATTATGATAACTAGACAGCTCTGTTGAGATAACTAGACTTCTCTGTTCAGATAACTAGACTCCTCTGTTGAGATAACTTGACTCCTCTGTTGAGATAACTAGACTCCTCTGTTGAGATAACTAGACTCCTCTGTTGAGATAACTAGACTCTTCTGTTGAGATAATTAGACTCCTCTGTTGAGATAACTAGACTCCTCTGTTGAGATAACTAGACTCCTCAGTTGAGATAACTAGACTCTTCTGTTGAGATAACTAGACTCTTCTGTTGATATAATTAGACTCCTCTGTTGAGATAATTAGACTCTTCTGTTGAGATAATTAGACTCTTCTGTTGATATAATTAGACTCCTCTGTTGAGATAACTAGACTCCTCTGTTGAGATAATTAGACTCTTCTGTTGAGATAACTAGACTCTTCTGTTGATATAATTAGACTCCTCTGTTGAGATAATTAGACTCTTCTGTTGAGATAATTAGACTCTTCTGTTGATATAATTAGACTCCTCTGTTGAGATAACTAGACTCTCTGTTGAGATAATTAGACTCCTCTGTTGAGATAACTCGACTCTTCTGTTGAGATAACTTGACTCCTCTGTTGAGATAATTAGACTCCTCTGTTCAGATAACTAGACTCTTCTGTTGAGATAACTAGACTCTTCTGTTGAGATAACTAGACTCTTCTGTTGATATAATTAGACTCCTCTGTTGAGATAACTCGACTCTTCTGTTGAGATAACTTGACTCCTCTGTTGAGATAATTAGACTCCTCTGTTCAGATAACTAGACTCTTCTGTTGAGATAACTAGACTCTTCTGTTGAGATAACTAGACTCTTCTGTTGAGATAACTAGACTCCTCTGTTGAGATAACTAGACTCCTCTGTTGAGATAACTAGACTCCTCTGTTGAGATAATTAGACTCTTCTGTTGAGATAATTAGACTCCTCTGTTGAGATAACTAGACTTCTCTGTTGAGATAACTGTTGAGATAACTAGACTGCTCTGTTGAGATAACTAGACTTCTCTGTTGAGATAACTAGAC